GGTGAGTAGGAGCATGTGGATTAGGATCTGGAGTGCAGGACTGGGATTCAGGAATTCCTGTGCCAGGAGAAGATGCAGTTGTCTGAGGATGCCCAAGGCATTTTGCAGCCTGGAAGGCGCTTCCGTGATCTTTCCAGAAGGGAAAATCTTACCATCTGCCATGCTAGAATTTAACACAGGGCTGCACAGTAGAGCTGGTAAAACTGTGTTTCCCCCTTCTGCAGAATGGGATCGTATGTGCTCATTTCCCCTGCAGGGGTTTGCTAATAGTGGCTCTGCACTGGTCAGTGAAATGCTGTATGGATCACCAGATCTTAGACATGATCTGTCTTCTGTGCGTCCCCAGCTTAGCAAACAAGTTTTAGGAAAGTGTTTGTTTAATAAAAAGGGAGCAGAGATGCCTGGCTCCTCCTGCTGTACCAGCTACATTTGTGTTCTGCTCTGGGGCACTGACTGCACCAGCTGCTTTGAGGAGGATGCAAGTTGCTAAATTCTGCTCCTGTGTGAAAAGGAGCAAATGGTATTTCCTTCAACAGCATGTGCTTCATGTTTCCATGTGATTTCAGTTATACAATCGTGTTTATTCAGTTGCTTACTTCATGTCCTTCTATTTATTTGAAAACTTCCCTCAGACAGCAGGGAAAGTGCTGCAAACCCACTGCAAAGTTCTGCAGCCCCAGAGCAACTCCGCATGCAGCAGGGAACAAGTGTGCCTCTGGCACTTTATTGCCAGCACAGACAATGTGTGGCAGCAATAAGGCCTTTAAGAACAGCTTCTTGGAAGTGTCACTATGCTGTGTTCTTCCCTGCTCTCCAAGAACAGAGTGGGGGGAAAAAGGCACAGTGAGAATTGGCTTGTGCTCACAGGTGGGTAATTTGTTGGATGTGCTGACCTTGCCTCTGCCCCTTCAGGAGGAGCATGGAATAAATCCTTTGCAGGGGGAAATGCACTGGAGCTGCTCACTCAGGATACTTACTTGGCTGTTCTGTGGTGCCACAATTGTCAGTGAGGGGACGGCATTGGATGCTGGAGACCAGGGATACTGCCTCTTAAAAACTGATGGTCAGGGAGGACGATCTTGTGCACTCACACTATCAGTCACCAGGATTGTGCATAAATGTGCTTGTTTTCTGACATTGCAAACTCAGTCTTGTAAATGTTGGGGAAATAGGTGGTATCTGAATTTTCTGTATCTGCCAATATTTAATTCAGGGAGCAAATAAAAACTATCCTGGTGTTACCAGCTTGCTTGCTTGCTTTGTTTGACTTTGAACTGTTTGCCTCCAGCTGTGGCATGTGCCTGACCAGGGCTTAAGGGGTAAGCAAAACAACTCATCACTTTTTCCTCAGGAGATTTTAAGCACGAAATAGGCAGGTGGGGAATCAGCACACCAGTGCATTGGTGTAAGTGTTCAGTGATCGCTCGTGAGCTCAGTTTACAAGTAGAGAACACTTTGTTAAAACTTCTAAACATAGAATCCTAGGATGAGTGAGGTTTGGTTTTGTGCAGGATTATGCTGCAATGATGAGCTTAAAATCCTGTGAAACCTGTTATCCTTTACCATGATTAGCGTCAGTGGGAATGTTGGCTGTTAGGTACTGTGTTGTGCTCTCCTCATGTTGGGGAGTACGAACTGGCAGAGAGGGGAAAGGACAGCTACAGGGCACTTGGTAAAACCATCTACAAACCAGTTGCAAGACGTGGTAATTTTAAAATCCCCTTGGACAATTTCCCCCCTCCCTTCTACAGTGTACAGATGGCTTAAAAATGCATTTAACGTGTAGTTCTGTAAATGTCTGGATTTTGCCAGAGGCTCTTGATTCTTTGTGCCAAATAGCAATTCCACTTTTGTTTTTTCCACATTCCCTCCTCCTTTGCTCCATAGTAGCCAACTTCTTCATGGTGTGAGCTGCCTTTTTATCCAGGGGATAATGTTCTGCAGACAGATATCCTTACCCTTCAGGCCTTGGTGGGGTGGGGTGTAGTTTTGCTGCTTTTCTGGGATAGGGTAGCAAAAAGGAGGCAAAGTAGGACTCTTAATATTCTCCAAGATGGAATTCTGGTGTGGTGCAGCATCCTTATGGGCAGGTAAGTGTAGACTTTTTAAAGGAGCATAAATTGTATTGCTTAAGTATAGAGTGGACTTGATGCTTTCTGTTGTTTTCAATCAAGATTTATGTTTGGCTTGAAATGCCTTTGAGAGCAACCTTGATTGCACAACCCACTTTTTTGAGCAAGGTAAGCATAAAGTATCCTTATTTTTTCTGAGGCGATAGTAGTCAAGTGCCTGACTTCCCATCTGAAGAGGATGGATGGATGGATGGATGGATGGATGGATGTCACTTTGTGTTCCTGTATCAAACCCATAACTTCAGTTAAGGAGTGTCCCTTTTAGAAAAAGATAGTAATTTTACGTTGCTTAAAGGTGTAAATGATGGAATGTGAGTACGTCCACCTCTGCTTTGTGCTGTTCTGAGATGCACTAAAATGCCTGGAGCCTGTTTACTCTGTAAGGAGAAGCAATGCTACCAGTGCTGCAATATTTAAACGTAGGCATAGGCCAACAGGCTGTTCAGAAACTCTTGTGGACCTGTAGTGCTCGGCACGATCTCCTACTGCTAATTTCTTTGGCTCTGTGTTTTTAACCTCCATTCATTAGGAGTGAGTCATACTTCACAAGACCTCTGTGAGCAGTTAAATCAACCTGTCGATTGAATCTATTCAATCCCTTGGCTTCTTCTGAAAGAAAAGGCAGCCGTAGCAATGAGATGTCTTCTACCACCACACTGAGGGTGTATGGCACCCCTCCTCTGGGCTGCATGTGCTCCCTCAGGAGCTCAGCACTACAGAAAATTGCCCTTTTGGTAACAAAGGTGTCTTAACAAGTATGTACAGGCTCCAAGGTGCATCCACAGCTGTGCTGGGAGGCTGGCAAGAAAGTGGCCTGACAGGGAAAAACTATAATTCTTCCACAGAGGCCCAGCTTTTTGGGCAGGGAGGTGTTACAAAAAGACTTCCAGGTTATCTCTGTCAGGGCTGACACAATAAGAAGCAGCTTATGTTAAACTTTTCCATCTGTGACCTGGATTCTTCTTTCCAGGTATGCCCGCTTTTGCCTCAGAGTTCTGAGCATGAGGAAATGACAATCTTCCAAGACTCGATGTGGAGACATGGGAGAGACTCATGCCTCTTACAACTTGTGCTTACCTGAGGTCTCCCCTTGATTATCTTTTTTCTTTAATTTCATGTCAAAGTCTTCACCCAGCCAGGCAGTGCTGCCCAGGTAATTGCTAGAAACGCCTATAGGACTCTTTCATGCATGAGAAAGCTATTTGGCTCACACCACCCTGCCAGCCTGAGGAGCTTGGCTCTGTTCCCTATAAGATCTCCCTGGTTCTTCTTCCTACAGCAGGCGAGTCTGTTGCTGAGGGCTGGTGATCTAGTCTCATGCCCCATGCAGGCCCATGGTGTGATTCTTCCTTTGCATTTGTTCCTTCTAATCCAGGACGTTGCAAGGCGGTTATTGACCTTCCTGGTGGTGGGTGTTCCCCAAGCTCTGTCCACCCCAGCTTTGCTCTCAGCCACAGCTCCAGGAAACTGCCAATGGAGTTGGTTCCTTGCCACCCCTTGGGTGCTGCTGAGGTTTCCAGAGGGGAAGACAGCCGGCCTGAGACTGCTGCAACACAGAGGCAAGTCCTAGGAGCTGGGGTCACAGTGTTGATGACTGTAGGGAAGAGTGATGGGGTCCAGGGAGAGAGAGGATGGGGGATAAGCCACAGAGCCAAGGGGCTGTTGGAGCAGACGTGTGCAGTTGAAGAGGCGTAGTATGTGGAAAGGAGGATGCTTGTGAAGAGCGGAGGATGGAGTCTGCTTGGTGAGGAAATGAGGCTGGGGAACTCGAAGGGTCATTGCAGTGCTCAGTACCAGACTATCAGAGGTGGATGTGGGATGGTGACAAAGGGCTAGAGGGAAGCCACAGCAGAAGAGGAGGGGGAGAAGAACTGCACTCCTCTTGTGCAGCAGTGTCCGTGTGTGGGGTGGCCATTGGAGATTATGGGGAGTTCAAAGGGGCCTCAACATGGGAGGACGGGATACACCTCATGTTCTGTCATCTGTACTTGAGGGGCATGTAGTTCTATGAGGAGAGTAGAGAAGGCTGGAAGGTATGTGGAAAAGGCCCAGGGCTGCCAAGTTGGAAGGGGAGGCAGGGATGTCTCCATGAGATGCAGTGGAGGTTGCAGGAAGCAGGAGCACATGGGGCACAGGAATGATCATGTGTGTGAAGCAGCACCAGTGGATGCAAGGGGTTGAAAGCTGAGTGGGGATGGGAAGCCTGGGAGGGGTATATGGGTGCATGCTGGCTAGGGCTGGGAATGCAGGTGTGGGAGCTATATAAGGCAGTATATAAAGGGATGTGGGTATAAAGTAAAAATGTAAACCTCTCCACAGCAAGTGGGGCTGTGCATGGCTGGGAAGGTGCTGTGGGGTACAGCCCCAGGGGGAATGCTCCCAGAAGAGATGTGGTGCAGATGGAGCAGCAGTGGCTGTATGGCCCTGGGGAGAGGGGAGGAGGGGTGCGGGTGGGGGCCAGGGGCTGATGGAGGTCAGTTCTAGCCCGGGGGGCGTCTGGTATCAGTGCGGGATCCAGACTGGGGGCAAGGCGCGGGCCTGTAGCGCCGCATGGCTCTGAGTTGCGGATGTGCGGGTCCGTGCAGCGCGCAGGGTGCCCGCTGAGCCCCGGTCCATGCTGGGGCCTCAGTCGCGGCCCGGTGCGCGGCGCGGCACGGCCCCGTGGGGCGCCGGTTCCGGTTCCGGCGGAGCCTGAGCCGGGGCGGCGGGCGGGCTGCTGGGCGGGGGAGGAGCCGCCGGAGCCCGAGCTTGCGCTCTGGAGCCGGGCGGCGCTGGGACCCGGAGAACAAGGGGTGCGGGAGGACCGGGTGCACGGAGGCCGCAGCCGGGCCGGGACGCGGGCGGGGGTCGGGGCGGGCCGCGTGAGGGCCGGGGCGGCGGCCGGGGGTCGCGGGCCGCGGCGGGCCGGGGGCGGAGGCGCAGAGGCGGAGGCCTGGTAGCCGGGCAGGGGCGCCATGGCGGCGGCCGAGACGAAGATCATCTACCACCTGGACGAGCAGGAGACGCCGTACCTGGTGAAGCTGCCGATCCCGGCCGAACGCGTCACCCTCGGCGACTTCAAGGGCCTCCTCAACCGCCCCAACTACAAGTTCTACTTCAAGTCCATGGACGACGACTTCGGGTGAGCGCGGACCTGGGCCCGGCCCGCGGGGGGAGTCCCCCGTGTCCGCGCCTGCAGGGCGGGCTCCCGCGGGGCCTGTGGGGGGTCCTCCGTGGGGTAGCGGGCTGCGTGTGCAGAGGGGCTCGGAACCCCGGGTTGGGGGGTGCCCCTCGGGACTGGCGGCCCCTCTGGAGCCCGGCCTGGAGAGGCGAACTCTCTTCCATCCTCCACCCCCGTTGCCTTGGAGGGGGCGGGCTGGTGCCCCCCTTGGGCTCTGTCTCGGGGTACACGACCCTTGTGTGCACCCCCTGTTACCTTAGCAGCCCCCCCCGCACCTTCTCTGGGGCTGGTGAGCCCCGTGTGCTGCCTCTGAGGACAGCCTCCCCATCCTGCCCTTCCCTGATGGCTCTAGGGGAAGCTGCCCCTTGTGAGCTGCTCTGTGGGGGAACTGGTGGTGGTCTCCATGCACTTTCTCTTGGACTGCACCCCAGGTCTGCCAGAGGCACCTTGGAGACCGTTGCCCCACCAGAGGATCAGCCCTGCATATGATGCTTGAGCAGCACATTGCCTGCAAGGGTATCTCCACTGTGGGATTGTCATTCCACATATAAAGGACCTGGGTATCTCCTGTTGTGCCTGCCTGGCGATGGTGCCCCTTATTCCCTCCACCAGGAGCATGCAGGGGCAATGCTCTATGAGCCCTTCCCAGGGATTGAATCTGCGGACAGTTTTGTTCTCCTACCATCCATTCTGGGGAGGGTCATCCATTTTGGTAGCTTTGTGCTCTGCATCTCATCTTTAGGAGCAGTGGGGAAAGGGGACCAACTTTCTTCTCCCCTCCCTTCATGGAGAAGGAGCAAGAGGTCTCCACATGCTGCTCATCTCTGAGTAAGAGGTGTATACAAGACCTACTGTACCCATGTATGTGTCCCATCCTCAAAGTAAGATGTCCTGGGCTTGATCTCTGGGGTGGGTCTTTATAGAAGAGGGCTACAGCCTCATCCCATCTACTGCAGGGCAGGCTTCTTCCAGTATTGGTGTTTTCATCACTTCTTTTTTGATACTCTTTGATTCCTTCTGTCACATATGGCTGGTTGTAGGCGAAGAGGTGTGTTCTGTCTCTTGTTTGGATGGCTGTACTGACTTACCTTCTGGGGAGCCCCTGCTGTCTGCTGCCTTCATAAAGTCAGTGACTGTTCTGGGGAACAAGTACCATGTGAAGCCAACTCTCTGTTAGACTTTGTCCCCACTGTTTTGACTGGAATCTTCCTAAATCTGCCTCTCTTCTACGGTTTTGACCTCTGTTTCCCTCCTGTGAACATGGCTTCTCCTGGCTTTTACAACATGTGACCCTTTTCCATCCCGGTATTTGCTGTTTGAAAGAGTTGCATGATATTCCTTCCTCTGGATTACACCCCCCTGAAGATTCAGTGTTTACAGTAGGTCCTGTGTGTGGAGGCTGGGACTACAAAAAGCTTTCAGTTTTATAGTCTTCCTAGTGTCGTCTTATTGCGCCAGATGCCTCCCTAGGCTGTGATTTTGGCTCGTACCCTACGTTGAACAGGGCTGGGCCTGTTCAGGGTTTGGGATGGAGATCGATGTGGCTGCCTCTGCAGGGGGTGCTCTCCCCTCTGCAGCCAAATTATACCAGTGCCCGGGTTCCCATTAGCTTGGGAAGTGCCAACTTTTACATGAGGCTTGAAATTTGGAGTCACTCCTTTGACCACAGTCTGGGATGCTTTGCCTCCCTGAATTCCTCCTGACCCAGTGGAGAGCTTTAGTCCTTAGAAGCTTCCCTGTTCTCTCCAGGCAAATAGAAGCCTCCAGCCCTCATTTTCCATACATTTCCTCAGCAATATCAGTTGTCTGTGGATCGTTTCCTGGCCCTCAGCTGTTGGGTAGTGTTGGGTGCTATGAAACAGCTGCCTCTCCGTGTCTTGAAGGGGACCGTGTTCATTGGTGGGAGAAGCGACTTCTCTGTGCATGCTGTTTGTAAACAAATGCTTTGGGATCCTTTGAAATGTTGTTCTTGAAGTGAATTCAAACTTGTCTTGAATGAAACATTGCCATGTGGGTGGGAGAGTGTCTGCGTAACTATAAACAAAGTTTAGTAATAAATAGCAGTGTCTCACATTGGGAATAGGGGTCTGGTGGCAACAAAGTTCTGTGCTGTGCCTTTTCATCCTCTGTTTCTTTAAGGCTCCACAAGAGGAGACAGATGGTAGATTAATGAAACTCAATGATAAAGCAGCATAGGGAGTTACTGTGGATGCTAGCAGGGAGATGGGAAAATCTCTCAGGAAGAAGCTTTAGTTGCGTCAGAAATGTATGGGATGAGGTTTTTGTTGGGACTCATTCAGATAATTCTTCTGGGAAGTGTGAACCTCTCTGAAAGGGAAGGTGCAGCTGAGAGGGGTTGGAGGCTGCATGTGGGCAGTCTGTTCCTCAGGCAAGTCCTCTGTGATGAGTTGTGCAGTTGGAGCAGCAAGTAGCAGAGCATTGTGTGGGACAGAGGAGAGAAAGCCTCTCATGGTGCCACCATGGATGCCCCTTCAGGAGAGCTGTCTTTGCTCCTTTCCAGACAGCTGAAGAGAATGCTGATGGTTGGCTGGAGCATGGGGAAGCTGGACTAGAACAGTCCAGCTGCAGCCTTGTCTCTGAGAAGCCCTGAAGCCCCAGGCACCACTTGGAATAGAATCATAGAATCATTTAGGTTGTAAAAGATCTTTAAGAACATAGAGTAAAACTGAAATGTTTTGTGATCCCTGGTAACTGGTGTCCAAGAAGAACAAGCCATTGGTCTGCAGGGACCAGTGCATGGGGAAACAAGAACAGACGGGCAGGAGGCACCTCAGCTGCTTGACTGTAGATGCCCAGGTAATTAGTGAAAATCAGGAGATTTATGATGGCTGTATTCAAAAGCTGTGTGCTAAAGAAGGGCACTGCATTCTCACACAAGTATCTTTGTCCCTTTCCTCAAGATGCCCTCTGCCCAGCATGGGGGATGGTCTGGCTTGTGCTGACAGTTTCTGAGCTGGGCTGCATTTTGTCAGTTGGGCAGTGCCCAGAAGTAGCAGCCAGGGTAAAGCCCCTTTGTGAAAGACATGAGCTATTAACAGTGGATGGCCTTATGGCAGCTGATCAACAAGGAGATGACCTGCAGATCTGATGGCTTGTTGTTTTCATCAGTGATTGGACCTTTTGCAGGATCCCAGTGGCATAAGACTAAGTTTTTATGTTTTGTTGGGAACAGAGGCATCTCACCTTCCAGGGTCAGCTGGAGTAAGATGTGGTCCAAATGTTTCCTCTCACCTCTGTTGCACAGACTGAATCTGTTTCTCCCTCTTCCTCCTCTTTCCAGGCTGTAGATCTCCAGCCTGGCATTCCTATCCCCAAGGCAGTATTACAGCTGCAGTCTTGGTGTGTGGGATTTTTCATTCTTTTGTTTATCTTGTTAATATTTGTTTGCTCTGAGAATCAGGGCAGTGGTGGAGCAGCTTCAGTGTTTACATCTCCTTGGAAATGTGAACTGAGGCTCCCCTGGGTGGCTGTGGAGTTGTTGGGCTATGCCAGGAGCTAATCCTAGTCAAAGCGCTCAGCCCCAATTTAAGAAGACCCCAGAATGTTGTCACCTCTAGATGGGAAGGAGGAGAAATGAGTTTTCATGCACTCGATCTTCAGGAGAGGAGCTTTGAGCAGCGGGAAGGCTGCAAGTTTCATTGCCTCATGTACCCACCACGTAGTGGGCTACAGCCACAGAGAACCCAGTTTGTGCCCAGTGCTGCAGAGCAGTGACACAACGTGCAGAGATTTTGTGCCTTTGTTGGCTTTTTGTATTGCTGATTCCAGAACTGGAGACATGTGGAGGAGCTAAGGAATCTGATGGTGGAAATACGGCAGTGCATAGATGTACTACGCTCTTCTTGGACCTCACATACTTTGTGTGGATATGACTTGCTATGAAGAGTGGAACTATCCTTAGCCTGCTAACCTTGCTCTCGTTAGAGAAGGAGGTTTGTTTTTTTTTTTCTCTTTTCAACATTTTACAGGTAAGATCTGTGTGCTGCTCATCAGGAGAGAGCCTTAGATCAGTGCAGTGCTATGACCGCTCATGAGATCTACGTTCTTCATCAAGGATTTTTCATGGGTTTTTGTAACAGACTTTAATTTCTGTCCTTCTCCACTGGGGCACCTCTCATCTTCTAGGCTGGAGAGCAGAAAGACCTACTTTTCCTGCAAGGGGACTATCTCTTCCTCTGCATGTCACCTACTTGTTCAGCGTTGCCGGGAAGACACCAGTGATTTGATTTGAAGTACACTGGTGGGATGGCATTGCTCCTCACACCGCTGCTGGTTTCTCCCTCTTGCAGATCTCTATTCCAATTTTAACTTCAGAGTTGTGGTGAGTGATTCGTAGGTCTCAGCTGTCAAGTGAAAATTGGTATCCAACTAATCACTAGCCCAGTATCTAATCCAGACCTGCTTAATTATCACCTGCTCTCCAAAGCTGGGTATGAGGCAGTGATTAGGGCAATGCTCTAGAGGCAGAACAAAGCGGGTCCTGCTGAAATTCCCAGTGCAGGGGTCAGATGCCATTGGTATTTGGCGACCTCATCTCCTGCACATGTGCATGGGGAAATGCACTGATGTTCACTGAAAGGCTGAGTGATTTATTTTTATTGCAGGGTCGTTTTGAAATTGATGCCAGCAGTGACTGTCATTCTGGCTGGAAGTTTGGAGCTGGGGAAGGGATCCTAAACTTAATAAGCAGTGTCAGTCCCTAAGCAGTGGTGAGCCTCTGGCATGGTGCCGCTGCCTTTCTTGCCAGCAATTTGTAGCATGAGTTGGGGGAGTTTTGTTTTGATTTTTGGAGCTTTTTATATTTATTTCATTTTTAATTTGAATCGTCGCTGTCTGAAGGAGACCTCTGCTTATCCCTTGCCCCTGTTGGAGAGAGCTTCCATCTCAGCATTTATTTCATGCAGGGAGAGGATAGCAAGAGGTCTGTGAGGGAAAGGGCC